CGCTCGGTAAGCATACACAGCCGCTTTGCCGTCTTGAACTCGCTCATTATGTCGAATGTAGTTATACCGGTTATACGGTTCTTTGGCAAATTCCATACATAGTATATCATAGTATATTACTCATCGATCGTTTTGTGAATCATCCAGTCGGATTGAATTGCGTGAAGAAAAGACGAGTTACATCCTGTGTGCAAAATTCACGAAAAAGACCTTTACAAAAAAACGTGCTATCGATCAGAATTCGATGAGATTAAATTTCGTTGATCTTGATAAGAATTTGAACTTGATAAGATTAAATTTTGCTGTGTGAGAGCGATAATCAGTCAGTGCGAGTGACTTTACAATTAGTTACGTTCTTACAGGTAATATTGAATTACGTATTACATTTCTCGGCCGAAGACCAAGTTGTATTTGTATAATTGGCGAAAAAAATGGATTTTCATTTTTTGTCACGCATTTTATTTTGTTCGTGTTTCACGCATTGTTTGTTTCAGAAACAATAAACATTTCATATTTACGCAGTAAGTGAGTTTCTTCTCTTGAAAATTGAATACCAGAGCGTTCGACAAGTCAACCCTCATCGATTTGACCTTCTGATTAAACAAGATAAACAAACGTTTAAATTCACTCAATTGATGGTGACAATTTCGCCGGATAACGCAAGAGGATAAAGCAAAGCTCTCTCACATACTCGCACCTTCATAAACTGGACACAAAATATTTACGGATTATATACACATAGAATATTTTATTTCGTTTCGTTCGTTTTTAAACATCACTATGGATTGCGAGATACCTCGCGACTTACAGATGTCTCATTTATGGGCGATTCAAAAAATACCGGGCAATACCGCCAGTGAGAAAGAGATCTTAAACAATTTCCATCAGAATTATTGCCTATATTGCGTGTAGAAACTGCCATCAAGAAGAAGAATCACGAAGATATAACATCGGCGCTCAAGTGTGAAGACTCAACAATAATAAACCGGGCACTTAAAGCCTTTTGGTTCTTCAATGGCAACCACAAGAAGATCATTAACGTCAGGTATTTCTGCGAACATCTATTCCCTTACGTTTCTATAAACACAAGGACACGTATTGTGTTAACACTCGCACATCAATTGTCCGGGAAGGATCCAGTTTTTGCGCAGGAAATATTTACAGAAGTGGTATCTATTTACGGCATTCAAACCGCTTATCCATTAATCATGGCTTGCGACGAGACTTTCGTTTATAATCTGATCGTGGAGAAGGAATTCGTGCTGCCCGTTAAAATTGTTCAAAAGATCTTCTATAGGAATCCGGATTTGATAGTGCGTTTTCTCAAATTATTGAAACCTCGTGAACTAAACGAGACCGAGCGCACTCCCTTCGCGATCGGTATCGACAGATACAAATCTTTCCTCTCTAAATTAATAAAGAAACATCTGGAGGCTTTCGTGGAACTGTACGAGATTCACAAAGATTATCTGCAAGATATTATTTTGAGTAACACGTGTGCCGAAATATTTCTGAAGAAAGGTCAGCGACACCTGATACAAAAACCGCTTATATATATCCGCATGTTACCATTGAAAAAAATTAATGAGGATTTAATGGAGAGAGTATTCCCTGGTCTATTGCCTACAGAAATGTCTTCTTTTAATACAGATAGTATGCTCGATTACTTGAAACATTATCCACGTGATAAACAACACGATCTACTCCGTAAGTCATACAAGGATAAATATGATGCCGATTTTCTCGACGAGACAAAAAATGTCACGCCTGCCTTATTACAGTTATTACCTATCGAGGAACGGATCAAACAGGCTAGAATTAAAATCGAGAAGCAGAACTTCGAGAAGCAGAACTTCAAGAAGCAGAACTTCGTGGAGGCTTATTATAAAAATACGATGGAATACAAAACAGTTTGGACTTGTTATTTACCTGTTAACGAAGTCATACCGGTTATCAAAGAAAAATTAAATAAAACTAAAGATGAAATAGATAGGATTGGTTTCCTTTTGCAAATGATTTATGTTTGTAATGTTAATAAAGATGATGATGCGTTGTTCGATACCTTAACATATATTTTAAATAGACATAAAAATGAAAACTCTTGGCTATTCGAACGAATATTCAGTCAACTTTTACAAATATACAATTTACCTTATTTAAATGAAAAGCAGATTTCTCTTATACTAGACATTGTCCGATTGTTTTATGTAAAAAATGAATTCGTACCGAAAGAAATGCTCGTGGCTATAATACATTTCAAACTTATACACAATATGCCAATTGAAGAGCTGATCGATATGTTTTTAGAGAAGAATCGATGGTACATAAATTTTAACATACTCAAAGAATATCCACAGTATGAGAGACAATGTCTCGTAACTTTCGCAAATAAAATTGAAAAAAAATCTTTTAAAGAGAATGATGAAAAAAAAAAAATTTTCTGCCAATTTATTGAAGCAATATACGATTTTAACAGCAGGTGTAAAAAATCTTGCATCAAAATAGAAAAAATGACAATTAAGGATTATCCTTGGTTAATAGATGTTATTCACGAAGTAATACGTGTCGAAGAAGATTATTGGAAAAATATATTACAGAAGAATGAACCAGAACTGTACTGCAGTTGGTTTCCTTCAAATATTGCGAAAGTAACGTCAGGCGCGGCGCTCGCTCTATTGAAACGAGATTTACAAAACATACTGGATAATTGGGAAGAATACTTGGAAAACTGCATGAAGAACTACTATATAAAACATGTACAACGTTTCGTCAAGGCCACGCGATGGTACAAAGATTTACCCATTAAATTTGCTGAACGTTGCATGAAGTATGTGTACGATAAAAGTACAGATAAAATATCATCTAGCCTAGTTATCTTGGCCCTTTTACTTCATGGTGATGAGTTGACAAAACTAATCGATCCTTTCACACCCACAGAAACAACGATAAATACTGATCATCCAAATGCCAAGGACAACTATAAAATTATAAAAAATTTACCATTGAGCATGAGACTTTCCAATCCACCAATACCTCTCGATCTCGTAGTTAGATTGTGTGTAGGAGATTACTTGTCAATAGCTTTGATGATGCTAACAAACGTTAGTAGGCGTACTTCTTCGCCTAAAGTTATCTCAATCGCACAAAAGTTGATGAGTATGCGTGTGAGCACACGTAAGCATGGAGTTAGGCTGATGTACTTAATAGCTACTATGCATGAGCTTATAGATTTTCTCCAGAAAACATGGGCAACCGAGAACCATCATTCAGTACGACAAGTTTTATTCAAGACATTCCAGAAATGTTTTCTCACAAAACCAGATCCCGAAACTTGGTCCCTATATTGTCAAACTACGTCGACGTTGAATCTCAATGACGAAGCATTGCTTTTAGATATAAAGCTGTTTCCTGAGATCCCTAATGAATACGTCGTAAGATATCTCGATCTATGGCTCAAAACGATAGACAATTTTCAAGGAATGGGACTGGACGACCAGAAAACAAACAAACACGTTGCCTATTTTTTAGCGACGCTTACTGCATCTATTTTCAATCTTTTATCTGAAGAATTTACTGAAAATATACTTCGAAGATTTTTATTCCATATGGATAGGGATGTATCCAGAGCAGCAAGACGTTTTACAATATCGTATATTTTAACAAAAGATCAAGATAAATATGCAGCATGCATCAAAGCATTTGCCAATGTCTTTCGTAACACAGTGATACCTAATTGGAATGTACCTCATCCTAAAAAATTATACTTTTATCCAATCAACAAAGCCGTGCGTTTTTTCATAGATGATTTCGTCAGTAGCTACATCAATAAGCTCTACTTTAATAAATCTTTTAACCCGGAAGTTATCGATAACATGCAAATGATATTTTTATCTGTCTTGTCACCTAGACAGTACGCGAGGTCTTATTTATTGTTGATATACGCAAAGAAGTTGCAAGAATGCAACTCCATCAATAACTCCTTTGGCCTGAAACTCGGTCAGCAGTTGCATGAATTAACCGACATTTTCTCATCGCTATTGGTTTTGTTTATGGCCGAAATTCTCAAGTACTTCCTAAGCCAAGTATCTAAACCTTCCGATTTGCAAGAAGTCAAGCTTAGTGTCATAGAAGGCCTGATTGAAGCTGGTAATACGGATTCTTGTTTTATGGCTGTGACAATGTTACCATCGATGATCCAGACGGAACACGTAGCAAGATACGATCGAATCGTTGAAAAGTTACAAGGAATGCATGAGGAGCTTGGTACCATGACCGTTTTATGCACTCATTTAAATGAAACGGCTTGAAAATTACTTAAACGAATCGAGTGAGTTATATATTGTTGTGTATTCTCCGCGATAATATTTTGTTGCGATAAATAATGTTTTGTTATTATATAATGATTGAATCGTAAAACCTTTATACATGTTGAACTATTAATGCGTATATTTTTAATAGAATAGTCATTGAATTTTTATAGAAGAAAATTTTTTAAATAGAATAATTATTGAATATTTTTTATTTTGCAAGATATGAGCCTAAAGTTATTTTCTTTCTTTTTCAGAAAATTATTTAAAATGTTTCTTGAAGAAATGAATATTATAAGAGTTGTTAGTTCGATGGATAAAATAAAGATATGTATATTTTTACAGCGATTATATATGAACACAATCTTGTAAATTATACACATTAAAGATTTATCAAAGTATAAATAAATATATTTTAAAATAAGTTATACCTTGGTGTTACACAGCATATATCCATTTTAATTAATTATAAATTATTTAATATGTTCAATACATTATTTCAATACATTAAAGCAATTCAAGTAACTGATAGATATACTTTTTATGGCGCATGATGACTTTTTTTCAATTAAATAATCTAGTGTCTTCCTTGAACAATCTTTTTATGAAGTAAAAGACTTAGAGATTTCGAAAACAACAGAAAGTAACAGAAATTTTGTTTACTCTAAATTGTGCGCCGTGTGATTTTAAAATGGATTTAATAATAGGTTCTGTTCGCGTTGCTTGCAATTCTCAAAAATTTGAAAAGAGAAAGCGAAGATGCTCAGTGTAAAAAGTACAAGCAATGCAAACAGACCTAATATTGATTGTCCATATTGGATCTGCCATTTTGAATTCTGCAAATCCGGATTCGGATTCATGATTGTAATCCAAAGAACACACACACACATACCATTATTAAATACTTAAATTTTATAAAATAGTAATAGAAAAGTAATTATATAGATAAATATTTAATTAAATATTTTCAATTATTGAATATATAATCTTAAATAATATATAATTAAAAATAAAAATAACAAAATCAGATAATTTATTATCGATTGATGTCTGGGATTGATAAATGGGAAATGATAATATAGGCAAAAATATAATAGCTTACGTCTTATTTTATGAACGTTAATAGCGGTGTTTCAAAAAATCAGATACATCAATTTTTAATCAACTTATGTAACTAATAATAATGCAATCATCCAATTTTATTATAAATTATTGTATTTTTATAAAAGATTTATTGTAGAGTATTTTATATTCATTGTACACATATATATATATTTGCAATTATTATAAAGATTAAATTTCGATATTTTTGCAAAGTCCATCAAGTTTCCTAAATCGTACCATCACAAGATAAGATTGATAATCGACAATAATAAAACTAACAATTTATATGAATACAAATGTCAAGTGCGATAATATATTTGAATCAATTTGATTTTGACGTCATTTGTTTTTTTACTATCGTTATTTAATAATGATAAAATAATGATTTTTTCAATAAATCATTAAAATTAGATATTAGTTAATGATTTCTTTTATTAATCTATACTTTTACATATCATGAATTTAACCAACTTTCGCAGTTTTATCAAATGTAAATGTATCAGTCTACATAGAACGTGTATCAATGCGTATTATCGCATACAGTAAGTGAATCGCAGCCTACTCAATCAGTACTGGAACAATTGTATAAGTTACGAAAATAATAATAGGAGCGTCCCGTTTGATCAGACAATTATATTGACTATATTCTCTATATCGGACTTAACATGATTCTCGCTGTCAAACGATGAATTAGTTATTAGATTTTACATCTCGACGCTGTGTAATTTTTATCGTTGAACATGCTATGTTCTTACATCTCTAATAACCACATTGCATGCAAAAAGAATATCTCGTTTAGCTTATGGACTCGGCCTCTCGTTGTCACCTTATAACGACTTTATAATGAAGAATTTAAAAGTTTCAATTTATGTTAACTGATGAAGACTCTGTCAACCAAAATGTTTTATTTTATTATTATATTAATTGATTAAAATTATTTTGATTATTTAAATATTCAATTTGCTCGTTTTTGGTTATTTCAAATTTTGATATTTTGTTTTGTAAACATATGAGCATTAGCTTATCTTATTATTTGTTTACATTATTGGGAACTATAAAGTTTTATTTCTGATGGCGATTAGTTTTCACATGATATCTTTAACGTAAACATATGATATATGTTCACGTTATAATTTTATACATTGCATAATTCTCTATTGTAATTTGTGTGTATGTGTGTGTGTAAGTGGGATAAGAATCAATAGATCATGTTAGGATTAACCATAAGTCACAGTGTTCGTTCAGGAGAAAAATCCCAGGCATCAGTTGTGAGTGACAGTGATCAATCACAACATGATCAAACAGGACGATTCTATATAAATGTACATAGTGCATATATTTGTGTACAAGCATTATTTACATGTAAATATATATATATATAATTATACATATATATTATAAAAAACTGAAATAAATATTTCACTTTTAAGTAGGTGGCTTTAATATAGAAGATTCACCTTTTTTTGGACTTGAATTTATTTCTTGTTGCTCCAATCTACGATGTCTTAACATTGTGGATATTACTCCATTAAAGCTGGCAATTTTTTTCTTAGCACTACCTTTTGGAGTACTTTCGCCAATCCTACGGACAGGTAACCTCGGTAATGACATTTCATCCATGAAATCAAAGTCAGACTTTTCTTCAGTTCTGTAAAGACAATGTCAATATACAAACAAAATTGAAATAATTAAAAACTGCTGTTGAAAACTTACTTATATTCTGGAGATTCAAGCTCCTGTTGTAGATTATTTGAAGGAATAGGAGAAGGCCCTCGTCTGCCAGGACACTTCCATTCAAGTTCTAGAATGCAATTATTTACTTCCAAACCTTCAATTAATGAGATTATCTCTTCAGCCTTTATATTCCATTTATGCTACACATATAGAAAATTATAAAGATTTGTTGAAAATTAACATGATAAGGTTTTAAATGTAAGCTTAAACATTTATTAATAAACAGTAAAAAAACAATTAGATATACATGTGTAATTATGTATAAAAAAATTTTTTATAAAATTATATAGAAGATTATACATAATAAGGATTTGATTAAAGATTGACATATCAAATAAATTTAATTCTATTCACCTTTTCATCCATTTCATATTTCTCATCATCTGAACACTCTACAGACCAATCTTCCTCAGTGCGTTCCATTTTCTTTGGTAAATGTTAAGAAGACTCTGTTAACCTCAAATTTTGATAAAAATACACCGAATCGATGCGTTTTCGCATAAAAATAAAAATTTAATAAGAAAAAAATATCTGTTCCGTAAACCGAAATATCAGGTTAAGAAAACTGTCAGCCACAAAATATTGTGATGCGAGCATGCGCTGTGGTCATATTTTTATGCATGGTGGAAGTTACTAGTTAGTGCGCATATCTAGAATCCTAGTCTAGTTTACACTTGATATGGGTACTAACTAGTAACTTTCTATTAAATTATTTTAATTTCAGCGATGTATTCAAAGAATGATGTACTAAATTGGTACAATATGCAAAATGAGATTAATTAAATGCATAATATTATATATGTTTTCACGTATCGCCGAAATTAAAATAACTCAATAGAAAGTTACTAGTTAGTAGCCGTATCAAGTGCACGATGTAAACTAGGCCTATAGCGTTTTCGATCCATCCGGATTTACACCTGGATTGGATTAATGGCGTTTTGTGTTCTCCTATTGGTAGAGCGTGTAAGGCTGGAATCAGACTACGTATTGAAGATTGAATTGATGGGTGAGTTCAGCAGAACGTTTGTGTTGTAAGTTTCCTTCGCGCTAATTGGATCATACTTTTAGATCTAGAAGAATGGTCCTATCTCAGCAGACAATCATAAAACGGTTGCAAAACTGTTGAGTCTGCTGAACGCAGCCGATGATTGAAAAATTCAAATTTGACCAATCGAAACGAAAGGATCTAAAATTTCTTTGTCCTTATTGGTCAAATTTCAATCTTCAATCTTCAATGCGTGTCTGATTCCGGCCTAACGTCAACCAATAGGAAAGATTAATCCAACCCAGGTTGGTGTAAACCCGATCGGGCCGAAAACGCTACTAGATTCTAGGACTCTAGTTCCACCATGTGACCATGCTCGCTTTGCGTGCATTTGCGTGGTAGTTCGTGTTTTTGTACCTGATTCTCGTTTCGAATGAAAATATCGAGTGATCAAATTTTGATAAAAACTCGCAAGTCAACTCGTATTCTATATAAATATCCGAAACATATATATTTCTTAAAAATCATACATTTATGACAGTGTTTTATAAAGAAAGTTTTACTACATTTTAACTGTATATAAATGTTGAATAATATTTATTGCACTGCTTATCACATTTTTTTTCTAACTTGTTTATATGTTCTGAAAAATAACTTTTAAATTAAAATGAATATTTTCATTTTTAGGTAAAATGAACAAAAAACCAATTCGAACTTATCAGAGAAAACCTGCAAAGAGACCTGTTATGAATTCATGGGCATCTGTATCAAGTGAAAAATATTTTGTGGGAAACAGTCATTTTGATAAAAATGAACTGTATAATGATTCTTTAAATTATGATCTATTCGAAACGACATTTGACAAACTTGCCAAAGAAGTAGTGTAAGAAAAATTTGTAATATGCAGACTGAACATGTTCATATTTTATAAATTTATTTATTTTTATTTTTATTTTATATGAATTTACTTTATTTTTGTGTGTTATATGTATTGAAGATTTTGTATGTTTATATGTGTATATTTAATCCTAAATTTATATATATTTCAACGTAGAGTACCTCCTATCCCATTGGATACAAATCAAAATGATTCATGGAAAGACAGTAGCAGTGATGATGATATTACCAATGCAACAAGTCTAAAATCTGAACCTATAGATGTTGATCTTTTTATACAGAATAATACACCTAGTTCAACAAATGTTAGGCATAAATCAGCTCCTAAATGCAAGAAACAAAAAAAATCTGAACCAAAAGTCATGGTTTCTATAGGAATGTTGTCTAAAAAAACAAAAATAATGTCAGTTAAAGATAAAACATGCTTAGGAAAAGCACAGGTATGTCCAGTTTTTTTTAAATAAATAATTGAATTTATTTTTAATAGTATGTATTAATAACCAGGGGCAGAAGAGACAAGCAAACAAGAGTAAAAAGAAGAAAGTGCTAAAAAATAAATGTAAGCCTAATCATGTATGCAATGAACAGATATCTCATATAAATTCTAATGCTATAGATAATTTGGAAGATGTCTCTTATAAGAACGATATTTCATGCAACAATACCCATGAATCTTTGCTACAAAAGGTTGACAAATCAATTACATCACAAAATAAATCAATTACAATTAATGAATCCATTGCTGATTTCAAACATATAAGAAACTATCAACAAATTATCAAACCATGTTTTGTTAAATTAAATGCTTGTACTGTGCAGAATTATACATTGATTCATGAAAGATTTCCAGAAAATAACCAAGATATATTGCATGATACAAAATTCTTGTTACAAGATACTTTACAAACTAAGAAAAATATTTCTAAAGTACTAAGTACTGTTTCGCGATCAGTCTCAGCTGAACATAATGAATTTAATGATTCTAAACATACATCAGTTAAACATTGTTCTGTAGTATTGTGCAATAACATTGTTAAAGATTGGCATATATTACAAAGTAAAAGAAACATGAAAGATACTATCAATATAAAAGATAAATCAAATATATCACATTTAGTTTTCTGTAACTCATCTGAAGTTACTCCAAACCGCAATAAAAGTATTGAACTTACATCATATGATATGAAGAAAGAAAGAGATCTAATAAAAAATAGTTTTGTAAAAGTGGAAAGATTAGAGATAGGAGAGTTTGTAAAAGAAAATAATACAATATCTGAAGAAAAGCAAAACATATTTTCTAGCACTCCTTTTAGCAAACGAGTCAAACCTAATTTAGCAATATTATCTCCTATTAATTCTAATATTTATAACAAGTCACATTGGAGTCAAGAAGGTTTGTTAGCAACTACAAAAGAAGATATTTCCAACATTGATCAGAAAAATTCTTATCCTTTGGTTACGATATCAGAAGATTCTAAACTCAAGCCCACAGATGTACAGGGACAGCAAACACAAATTTTATTGTCCCAGAAATCACAAATTACAGATTCTGTTGTTAAAAATGAAGTAACATCTTACAAAAATGATGTCCATATAGCTATTACTCAGAAATATGGTACAGAATGCTATGTTGAAACAGAAATTCCGTATTTATTAAATATGTCTACTGATCAATCACAATCATTATTTGATGATACAACATATAGTCACAATCATTCGGCGAAAGATCCAAATGAAGATAAAATAAAAAAAAAACGTCCTGGTACGCATAAATTTGTAGAAACGGACACAGTAGATTCATCCGTTGATTTATGTTTAAAACAAAAGCAATTATCAAGTGGTAATAAAGCTGAAGCAAGCTTTCAGTATATATCACCTTCCAAAATATGTTTAACATTTAAAGATTTAGATAATACGCAAAAAAATAAATCGCAAGAAAATCACGATATAACAGGAATAAGTATAGTAGAAGCAATTCATGAGAGCCTTAAAGATAAAACTGTTAATATTAATAAACTCAGTTTATTTGATGAAAGTCAAAATAATATTAATATGAATGCTCGTGTGCTGCTTACACGATTACAAGATCCAATTAGAATAGGAAGGAGAATACAATATCCTAAATGGCATTTAAACATATCAAATATTTTTGATAGTGTAAATAATGAAGCCGTACAATCAAACAACGAAGTTCACTGTATCACAATTGACAAAGATCTTTCTAATGTTCAATCAGCACATAATTTTGAGCATTCTAAGAATGCAAATTTGTCTAACGATCATTTTGAATCCTCCAGTGGCACGACTGAACCGTACAGTGATACAAATAGACAAATGAAGAAATCAGTTTTTTTAAAACCGGGCAAGTATTGGGCTAGATCTTTGTCAATATTAAATAATATAAACGATGGATCTAATTTAGACAAATTAAGTATCGGAAAGGGGAAAAAATGGAGGTGCAGCGTCAGAAATATATTGGATATGCAAAAACAAGGTAATTTTTTATATCATTTTTTATTTTTTTACACCAATTGATTCATCTTTTTAGTTTGTATAAAATTATTAAAGTACCTTATTGTTAAAGTAACTTAAAAAATTATTAATTTACGAGATATTCTTATCTTGCAAAAATAAAATGATAGAATGTGACAACCTGTGTGTTTTTTGTGCAAATACTTAAGGGTCATCAGTTAAGGCATTAAAATTTCGTATAAATGTTAATATTGATAATTTGCTTGAAAAACAATTGAAGGTAACTTATTAAACAAAATGGTAATTTAGAAGCACTAACCAATAACATCTTATAAATAAATGTAATGAGAGATCTTGAATGATTTTTATATTTAATTTTTAAATTTTGATGCTATTTTTTACATTGTACAATTTTTAAAGTGGAAATATTTCCAGATTTAATACATTTTTATAATAATGAAATTGAACAAATATAAAAAAAGTTTTGATACTTACGTTTAGAATCTTTATTAAATGGGTAGGCTTTGTAGTATTTATAATCTGACAATATTATATAGTATGTACGCGCGTAGTGGCAGACAATATTAAAATCGTAATAATCGTTATGTGCAGGAATTTTCCAAAGTTGTTTGAAGAAGGATAAAGATGATACGAATTTATCTAGCGATAATCTTAGCATATCAAATACTTCATCGTTCAACAGTAACAAATGTAAAGAATTTGATTTAGCGAGTTATCCTAGATTTTCTAAAAGGATCTCAGTGAGAGTTGTGCTTAATAATGCAAGCACTAAGTGTGAAATCAAAGATACTTCATTTCTTGAGGCATTTGGAATTACTGCAGAAAAATCTTCAAACTCGAAATTATCATGTAAGTACTTTTAATCACATATTGCTGTGCATAATCTACTCGTTTTACGACACTATATTTTTACATATTACACAGAATGTTATCATATTAATAATTAATATAAATTAAATAAATATTTACAGACCAGGAGAAATCATTGATATATAACGATCAACATATCAGTAGTCATTCCAATACTGCAAGAGATGTTGTCTTACAGAGATGTTCACAAAACTGTTATATTACTTTTGCAGATCGTTTTCCAGATTCGTATGCAGATCTTAGTATATATTTACACAAATTATATTAATTACTATGAATATATATAAATTATAACATTATTTATTCTGTTCTTATTGATAGGTATTTAGAACGTTGCCATAAAATAGGCGAAGGTGTTTATGGAGAAGTTTTTCTTCATGAATGTGAGGGTAAAAGATCTGTTATAAAAATTATTCCTATAGAAAATGAACAGTTAGTCAATGGTGAACCACAAAAGAAATTTAATGAAATATTGTCAGAAATTGTGATTGCAAAGTGAGTCAATTAATCAATTGCATGCACATATTGGTGATATTATTGACAAAAATCTTGAAAGAAGATATTTTCAGGGAATTGGATAATCTGAAATTAAATGATATCTATAAAACTAATGGATTTGTAGAAGTTAAAAATATCAGCTGTATTATAGGAAAATATCCAGAGAAGCTCATAGAACTTTGGAAAATGTATGATAAAGATAAAACATCCGATAATGATTGTCCATTGATGTTTGATGAAAATCAGTTGTATATTTCTCTTGAACTGAGTCACGGTGGGGAAGATCTTGAAGCCTTTGTATTTCAAACTGCGGAGGAGGCTTGCGCTCTATTTTTACAGGTTAATTGTTTATATCATCGATGTGTCAAATGACAACAATGTTTGATGAATTATTAATCCATCAGTGTTTATAAATTTTTGTATTTTTAGACTGCATTGGCATTAGCAGTTGCAGAAAAGGCACTTGAATTTGAACACAGAGATTTGCATTGGGGTAATGTATTAATATCAAGAACAAAAGAACAATATATATATTATAATCTAGGGGGGAGAGAGATCAAGTTTCCTAGTAAAGGTGTAAAGGTTTGTTCTACGAAAAATATTTTAAATACTATTAAAACTTTTTTTTTTATAATCTTATTAAATTTTTCTCAAGGTATCTATAATAGATTTTACGCTATCGAGAATGTTATACCAAGGATGTTGCATATATAATGATCTTGCACTAGATCCAGCTTTATTTACTGCTCATGGTGAATATCAATTTGAGATTTATCGTCTTATGCGCGACAAAATTCAGTAAGTCACATACATTTTATTTCTTACCTTTTTCTTATATACTGTTTGTTTGTACTTCCATCATGTGTGCAGGAATGATTGGCGCAAATTTGAACCATATACGAATGTTTTGTGGTTGCATTACATTTTGGATAAAATGATTACTGCGGTAAGATACAAAAAGAAAAACTTGAAGGTTCACAAGCACGCTGTTATCAGATTAAAAGAATTTAAAGATATAATTTTAAACTACAATAGTGCATACGACTTTGTAATCAATTCTAATAGCGTCGAGTAACTATGATGCAAGCCCTTACGAAATGCCTCTATAATAAATCAAATTTTGCAAAATTTTCTAGATATTCTATATTATATATTTAGCTTAAGTATAATTATATATACAAATGATTATTAAATTATTCTAATATTAAAATAAGAAAATTATGATATTGATATGACTTTTGATATTTTACATACATATTATATAATAATTGTGTTTACGATTAAAATTAATTTATATTCTTTGCTTCTTTTTTCAACTTCATATCTTCTTGATAGAATATAGGCATTAGAAATATATTTTTCCATACTATAGTAATAAATATACCTATATAATATTTTGGAATGTTTTCTTTTATTATTCTCTGATTATTATTTTCTATATAATGGACTAATACCAGCTTATATATATTTATATAATTTTTCGTTTATGAGATTATATTATGTGAATTAATTAAGGAAATTATAAAGCTATACGAAGTTCAATATAAATTTTACGTTCTTTTCATTATATTTCTGCTAATTAAAGCCGGTATTTTCTATTTGTGACTTCAGAATTTACTTGGTTTAAATTTATTTCAATTTCTTTAACATAATGCATTTAATATAATAATTACGTTCATGCTAATAAAATATTTTATCATTTCAAAAAGAATATTCTGTATTTTCAAGAAATGATATTTCTATATGTTAACTTACATACTATAAGATCAATGAAGTATTTAAGTATAATTAAGATAAAATAGAACAAATAATAACTTTAAAATTCATTTATTTCGATATAAAAATAAAAACTTTATTATTTTTTTTATTTTATAACACGAGAAGATACAATTACAGATGTAGAATCACAGGATAAACACAAATCAGAATCACAGAATAAATGCAAATCCGATTCTGCTGACAATACTTCTATTGTCGGCAGCTATCTATTGTTTATTTTAGAAACATGATATCAAAAATTAACATTAAAAGTTATAATAAAGCAACAAGAGGAATACAAAAAAATATATTATACAATGGTAGTTTTTGTCTACACGTACATTTGCAAATAATTTTCTGACCGGAGAGTGATTTTCTACTTAAGCATGAATATCTTAACTTCAGGGTCCGATCCGCCTGCTGCAAGAACGGGAACATAAGGGTGTCCATCCAAGCAAATTAACTATAATTAAAATTTAACAAAAGATAGTTTTACATTGTGAAAAAGATAAATTTAATTATCAAATAGATTTACAATGTAAAAATACTCAACTCCTTCCTCATCAGCGTACGTTTCATGTACTATAGTTTCCGTATTTTTATCCCAAATCACTATAGTATCATAACTGGGTCCAATCACATATTCGCTTTTAGGTCCGAAGAAATTAATTATGTCTGGGGCAATTCCAAATTCGTCAAATAAACATGCAATAGATGCAACAATGTTAAATATTAATAAATCAGAATTATTTAAGGCATTGCATCAAAACTATACCGACAATTATTTCAAGAAAAATATGTACAGATTTCTAGAAAAAAATCTTCGCATAAAAATTAATTAAAAAATGCACCACTAATTCCTATTATTGCATGATTAATTTTTTTCTGTTGAAATGCGCATAAAAAAAGGTTTAATCCTACTGAAAAAAAATCACGTCACAAAATTATACATATAAAGAAATCATGTAATTAAAACATATAGATCATGTAACGGATTGTTCCAAATCAGTACGTGATTTTTTAAATTACATAATTTGAAAAGTCACACGATGTTATATTTCTTTTTCTTCTATTTCTATCATTTAATTATTTAAAATTCGAGAACTATAAAATCATATGATAGATAAAATTATTTCTAATATGTGATTTTTCAAATTACGTGATTTTAAAAAATCACGTACTGATTCGGAACAATCAGTTATGTGTTTTACTTGTTTTAATTACATGATTTTGTTATGTAACATTGTTACGTGATTTTTTTCAGTAAAGAAGGACTATTACTAAGACCTAAAGTCATGAGTAAATAATACTATATAATGTGATTGCATTTTATATACCAATTGTCGAATTCGTAACACTGCTGTATTTGTGGGCGTAATCTGTACTTGACGGCGTTAATCTATCAAATAAGTATATGTAGTTGTCATACGTTGCGAGAATTTCTGTTCCACTATAATTATATATCGCGCATGGTACATACATGTCTTCATTCTCTATCTAAGACATTTAAATTATGTAAAATTAAGCGGAAGTAAAGAAAGAACTAATTTTATTGCTTTAATAATTAAAGTTTAATGTACAATGTATTCTTTGCTTCCTGTTTCTTGCTTTTTATATCATAAAGCCTATTCTACAATGTGCTTTTTGTTTCCTGTTTCTTGCGTCTTGCTATTTTTTTTATCTTGCCTTTTTGCTTCTTATTTCGTGTTTCGTTTTCTATTGCTCGAGATAAATGTTAACGAACTTCAGAAGAAACAGAAAACATATCAAGAAATATAATTGTCGATAAAACGATCACAAACAGGAAAAAAGCAAAAGGTAAAAAGCAAGAAATAGGAAACAAAGAGCACATTGTAGAACCATAAATGGTTGTTCTAGAGGCAAAAAGCAAGATACAAAAAATAGCAAAAAGCAAGAAACAAGAAACATGTAGCAAAAAATACAATTGTCGATAAAACGGTTGCAAAGGGGGAAAAAAGAAGAAGCAGGAAACACAGAGCATTGTAGAACAGGCTTAACTTTTCTTCTTTGTGACCGTTTTATCGACACACAAGTCTTTTTAAATGTGTATTCTTGTCTCTTCCGAAGTTCATCAACTTTTATATCGAGCGACAGAAAGCGAAAACTTGGGTAAGAGGTAAAAAAACAAGTAGTAAATATAAGAAACAGGAAACAAAGAGCACATTGTAGATTAGGCTTAGGTATTGGTTGATAAACCCCTTCAGCAATAAAATTGTAATACAAAACGACGTACCAGATGACTAGGGCAAAATTTATAAAGTGGCAGCAAAATATTTCGTCGATCGTACACCCGCACATAGCGACTACTGCCGCTAACGCAAAATTCATTACAATTAAGAGGATTAGAATTTATACTGTATAATGGCACCACTCTCTCATCTTCATATAATACGAATAATCTATGGATAAAGAAAAGTATACGTATTATAAAAAAAGTTTAAAAATTATCTATGCATGTAATTCAAACCAAAATTATAGATTCAACCTGCTCAAGAATCAGAGTTTGATCAGTTCAGCAGTTATTGATTCGGTAATCTCGAGTATGAATCACAATTGGCCGTCTAGCAAATACATATCATACATAAATACGCAAGGCGCGATTTCGCTCTACATGTATACTTACCGCGAGACTCATGATGGCTTTCGATACAGAAAATTAATGTTATACGTATGTACATATGCTATAAACACAGAGCATGTAGAATATATAAATCAGGCTTGGGTAGTGCTAAGTTAAAAAGATAAAAGTTAAAAAGTTAATTAATTTTAACTTAACTTAGTTACATTTTATCGGTAACTATTAACTTTTAATTTGATTTTTTTTAAGTCAATCTTCAGACACAATGCGAGAAGATAATGAGTATATAATTTAGTAATTTTATATTGTATAATCCTTATACTTATGAACAAAAATAACCAGATTCTTTAATAAATATTCTTTTCTTTTTCTTTTTTTTTTGGTTGTTCGTTCGGACCAATTTTAACTTTTAACTTTTCAATTACTTTTTTTATTAACTTAACTTTTAATTCAATTAATTTGATTATAGCTTAATTTGTATTTTAATTAAGTTAAATTTTCAAGGCTGTTAACTTTAACTTAACTTAGTTTAAAAAAATAGTTAACTTACTCAACCCTGATAAATATATATTAGAACTTTTTAATCGCTATGACTCACTCGTTTGGACCATTCTCGCGGATATCTATGGAGAAAATCTTCCCATCAGATCCAGTAGATAAGAATTCATTAGGTGTTTCAGGATGCACAGACAATTTGCACGCATATCCGTCATGCTGTGCCAATGGCTCCGACATATTGTATTCAGCATCCCACAAATATATCTGACAAATATATCCATTTTGTACACAAGTAACGATTTTTTCCTCGTCTGATGGCAGCCATTTGACCTAATCGGTTAAATAAGAAAAAGATACATTGGAAGAAAAAATACGATAACATTAAAATAGCTATTAAACACAAAACATAATCGTAATGTGTGTTTCAATTATAAATACTTGTATCACATCGCAAGTATAATGGTCGAACACACAGAGTAGGTTCTTTACAGACCAGTCCCAAATAAAAACTAATTTATGAGAAGCACTTGCTAATAAATTTCCTTCTCGATTGAAATTTACGGCATACGCGGAATCCTATAAATAATAATCAAATGTTAATATATGCCCAGTAAATATTGATGTAAGAATAGCACAGTAATGATCCCAATATGATATATAATATAAAATCTCGTGTAGTTCAATATATAGTGTTTACAAAACGAAAAATTTACCTGGTCCTCATCAAAGAGGGAATCCATTAAATAAAGCCGCTTTACCGCATGTGAAGAACCATAGAATCTTTCTTTGAATAACGAATTCCTACCTATTTGGCGATTTAACACTTCCGATATAATGTGCCACTTATTTGGTATTTCTTCATTCCCGTGCTTATTTTTTTCTTTTTTGATCCTTATTCTTTCGTCTTCACAGTTGTCAATAGCTTTCCGTTTGCGTGAGCCGCCTATCGAAAATTCAGACTTCTACATCTTATCAGGCAAGTAGTGCAAACGTTTGAAAAAGTATAGAAATACCTTTCTCATCTGTGCATCGAAGAGATTCAATACTCATAAATGTGTCGGTTGTGTCAGTTTCTGAACTTGTATTCCATGATTCGTTCTCATCTATAAACTCATTCATAACTGATTGATGGAACCTAAAATAATATAATTAACATTTTTTTGTATTTATAATTTACGTATTGTTAATGTTATGTACGTTTCTTTGATGAATAGTTAATATATTTATTGTCTTACATATGTAACTAGACTTTTTGAACGTAATTACAAACAATAAAATTGTAATTAATAAAGATATGTATATCAATGTTACCAAAATTTTAAATATAAGAAAACAATTACTTTTATCCACACCAAGGAACAAGGAAGCTTCCTCACTAGATAAAGAGCGTGATGCTGCACGTTCTTTTGTTTAATTTTTGATTATTCGAAACTTCGTCCAAATCATCGTCCGATTTTTCTGTTGCACCTCCAGCGGCGTATACTTGACTTTCCGAAATACTTCTTTTAACTTTATTTTGATCTGTGTGTAATAGGCTCGCTTCTTTAGTATAAAAAGACGGACTATTGTTTTGTGAGGTAGTGATCACTTCTGTTAATTTATCATCATAATCTCGTCCTCCCTATGAGGAAGTTTCACAGGCTCGTTTGCTTGTTTATTTTGAATAGTCTCACAAACGGGATCGTTACCAAATTCTACTGTACGACTAGTTTTTTTTAAGGTGACATTCCTCTTTGATGTAATACTAGAATCATTTCTCATTTTTACTTACCTTACGAAAAAATTAATTATTGCAAAATTGCAAACATTATAAAAACTGCTTATACTCTATCTGGTAGAAGACACTTTTCAGTTTGTATTTACATTTAAAAAATTTTATTTTTACCTTTTGTTTAAGAAATATTGTCTAAAAACAAAGTGGTATGTTGGTATCAGCGACTTTCCTCTACTCTTAGCAAACACAAGGTCATGCTTGTCCCGATTTTTAAATTGAATCCGTTGGATCAAGAATGGGGATGAAAACAAAATTTATGACAACATGCGACATGACCAAATGACTGTGTGTCAATTGCCTCCATTGGTAATAAAGAAGAGACGTCGATTTGTCGCCGCGAGAAAAATTTCTTAGAATTAAAAAAAAATTTTTTGAAATATGATGACTTCTTAGAAACACAAAATATTCTTCAAAATAACGAGATTTTTTGGAAATATAGAAAATCTTTGGAAATTTAGAGAAATTCTTAGAAATAAAGAAAATTCTTAGTATAAAGAAATTCTCGGAATTTTAATGTATTCCGTAATGTATTCCTATAATATGACCAGATATTTTCAGATGTAAAGTGAGACGACTTTAATAAGTGAGCAGGGATTATGTATTATGTAAAGATAAATATAATAATTGCAATTAATTCTTAGAAAATAATGCATTTATTTATATTTATTGTTTGAAATTATCTGCTTTAATAAAGAAGAGATTAAAATGTTAACTGAGATTTGACAATTTTGATATTGATAAGATCGATATAATAATTCTTTGTGTTTATCTTTATGTCCATACATCCCTTTCTCTCGCTTAATAAAGTAAAAGAAATGTTTAAAATTCTTGGCAATTGAATTAATCAAAGTTAAATTTATTATTAATATTACTTTTAAAATACATAAGTCGAAGTTAGGGTTGTTTTCGCTATTCGCACTCGTACATTATAGGAAACATTCATTCAAATATACTACATTACTTGCTGGTAGCAATAATGCATATTCTGTAATTGTACAATTTAACAAAATTTATGAAATATTTTTCAACGCGATCATTTTGCTATTTTATGCTAAAATCGAGACATATTTGACATATTTAGCGAGACAGCGAGAGGAGCATTTCAAAGGCATTTGAAAAGAAAACTTTAGGGTGCATTTTTGCTATAATATACGTAACGTAACCTATAACTTAGAGTTATCTGGGCCAATCTGGGCGTAATTCTTGAACGCAGCCCTGAGTGGGGGGCACTCAAATGGGAATTTGAACGTAGCTTAGCAAGCCAGCATGGAATAGAATCAGAAAATTATGGAAATAGTATGGAATATAAAGAATCAAAAATTCATGAGCATAATAGCATGGAATAGAACCATAAATGTGCAGAAATCGTAACACGTTATCAGTTGGAAGATGACTACGTAGTAATATTTTGTGCACATAGAGGCGCTGGTGGATGAAAACAGACGGAAATCAGAAATCATCAGTTGGTCATCAGTTGAGTGGATGTCCCCACACTTCCCAGTCCCTTTTAAGTTTAAAGTGATCTAAATACTTCTCTGTAACAGCCAAACAGCATGGACTAGTCAGTAGCAGCCAGTTAATAGCTGCTTTATTCGGGACTATTCAAAACTATTCGAAAGTACATTATACAGATTACATTTTCAAGAAGAAAGATACAACTTATATTCGTATCAATCACGTATCTTGATTAAATACATGTGAAATGATGGCAAATAATAGCAAGAGTTCTTTTATTACCGTACCTGGCTTCTGTCCCGATTGTGGTTCAATTTTACCTTTGCTTGGGGAGAAAGGAGGAGTTACATGTTACACATGCAAAAGAGAATGGGGGGCTGAAGGTACTACTGTATGATAATTCAAAAAATTCTGCAAAACATTATGAGATTGCATTAGCAATCCTTTATATGCAAGCTAAGAAATAATTAAAAATTTTCATTAATTTAGATTATTAATTTCTATGGTTATTTTCCAGTTTTTGGCGATATGGAAATGACACATAAGATCCATTTTAATACTAAGGATACTTATGTGTCTGTCAAAGAAGCCGAGGATGATAGTGAAGATGACGCAGATGGACCAACATTGGAGCGAGAATGTCCTCAGTGTCATAATGATAAAATGTCCTATGCAACATTGCAATTGAGATCTGCTGATGAAGGACAAACTGTATTTTTCACATGTACTAAGTGCAAGTACGTATCTGTATACAGGAATTATTATTGGTTTAGCATTTAGACATATTTTTATATTAAATTAAGTTTTTATGTTGCTAGTACTTTGTTAATGAATAAATCATCTTATTTGCAGATTCAAAATAACGGAGAATTCTTAATAAGGACTTAATATAAAATTACATTTTATTTTATAAGAAATACTGTATAGAACATATGTGATTCTTCTGTTGTTTCTTTTTTAAATAGAAAATTTACATTCTTGTACTATATAGAATGATTAAAGAAATAAATTCTAACACTTTAGGATATTTTTTATTTTATATTTTACATATATTTTATATTTTACATATATTTTTATTACAACGTGCGATATTAAATATCGTAATACATTTTATTATCATTTTATAAAGGTAAAAGAAAAAATACTTTAAAAAATATTTAAAGTATAAAATAATTTTTTCACCTTTTATTTACGAAGTTTTACAAATTACTCTTAATAAAAACATTCTTTGCAAGTGTTAATCATATTTTCTGATTCATTTTTGTCGAAATAAGATCGTTTCTTTGACTATATATATTATATAGAAACATCTAATCCCGCCTCTTTCATTCTTGAAGCAGGCATAATGAACATCCCTTATTATAGCTACGTCTTTTGCCCAAAACGCGGGAAATTCGAATGTCAATATCGGAGAATAAATAGATTCGAGGAGAGATGTTGAATGTATTGCTATCTCGATTTATTCAGCTGTATTAAATATCAATAGACATTGCAGTACGCCGTCAGACTTCCTATCATTAACGACGAATCTCTTGATATTATTCAACGAGCAGATTCTAAGGGCGTTGATATTCTTGCCGAACGAATGAAAAATCCGCGAGTACCATCGGGTCCTGACGGCATTCTTGTCACATTCTCAGGCACGTGCGTCATCGCGATGCTGTTGTTACTCCTCGATCTATAGAATACATTCTGTTCCGAATTTGAAGAGCACAAGGATGATCTTCTAATGTTCATATCGAAATCGCGACTATATGTCGAGAGTCTTCTTGATAATGGTCCACAATCGGCTGATCCACGACGATTTGCGATATAGCAGGTTCCCCGGCATTCTATCGGAGGACCTGTGATAAATGATAAATTTATGAGTTGACTGTATCGTTTCGAATAAATATATTTAATATTTTGCGTAATACAAGTCTACGCTGTGGAATGTATGATCGATGATCTCATCGTAACAATATAATCGTATATATACAAGAGATACATATATTATTACTAACCGGTGGAAGGACAGCAAGAGTAACGATGATTTTCATGATGATACAAACTCTTTGAGTAAGAAGGATGAAGAAAAGCTGTTTCGGAACCAGACGAACAGGTGGAATAACGTCTACCAGAATCTGAGCTGGAACCGGAACAGGAAGATAGACGCCGAAACATAAAACCGTTCTCGGAACTGGATATGGAGCAGGAAGAGAGCTTACGAGATAAGCACGCATCCGATGGCATTCAAAAATAAATGTTCTATACGACTTGTTCTATATAGGATATCATTAATTGAAAAATTTAATAACATAAGTGAAAATATTACATTCTTACTTGATTGATTTTATTGATATCTTTTGTTATTAATTTATTTTACATTTTTGAAATAAATTTAAAACCACTTGTATAACATTGAGACAGAAAGATGTATTGCAAAAATGATAATTCTTAAAATAAATCCTACAATACAAAACCTTACAATAAACTACATTTTTCTTTTTTTTTTAACAAAAAAATTTATCGAAACACCGATTGTTTTTGAGTTTCTTTCACTACACTTACGCGCAAACCTGTGAACAGGTGAAAGAGTAGATAGAGTAAAGAGAATATAAAAACGGAGAAAATGATTTCACTTTGCTATGACAAAATTTTTATTTAAAATTTAATCTCAGAAAAATCTAATATCAAATGTCAAAAATGATAAAAAAATTTGACGAAGGATTGACTTGAAGTCAATGAAATTAAAATCAACGGTAAAAAATGATTCGTCTGTAATATTCTGTATGTATAATATACAAATGATGTATTTCTTTTTCTTACGATATGATACCTTGGAAAGGATAACTCGTATTATGGACATGATACATCGGATATCCTTGAAAACCTCTTTTAAGCCTTACTCTCCCATCTTCGGGCTCAGATCCACTGGGACAACTCGATGAATTGTGATTATCTTCTCTTGCTGTTCTATTTGGGATACATTTCTTCGTAGGCTGTTTCTTCTTCTTGTCAACCGAGTGACGTAATTCGAATACTTGTACATCATCCAAGGCCATTTGCATGGCGATTCGCGCAGAAGCCGAGTCCGTGAATTCGATCATAGCGTATTCTTCGATGGAGGCCCATTCTGGCCTTTTAGCGATCGCCTGTCGCACCTAAGTAACGATTGCGAAAATTTTATTTCCTGTTTCGACATTGATGGATCTGTCATCAAATATTAAGAGTATTACGCAAAGCGAGATTGGTGCACGTAATCATCCGCGACTTATTATAATATTTATATGTATACGCATTCATTTCATTTTCTAATAAAGAGTTTTTTATCGTCAAATTGAGGCATTTGATTTGAGGATGTCAAAGCCACAAAGCGATGTACTTTAGAATTTTTTAAAGATAAAAAAATATTTTTTCAATCCTTAAATACGTTTTATAATCCAGTTAAATGCAACTTTTAAATGCCCTGTAGGAGATCCCGGGAAATTCCAAATGGATCTTGTTCTGGGTGAACAGACCCTGAACAGATCTACAATTTGAAGGGAGTAACGACCCATATGAATGCTTAGAACCTTGCTAAAATCGGCCTTGAACTTGAAATTTGGTCATTTTTTTACATTAATCGGGTTATATTTCTTAAGGCGTATATCGTAGGGTTAAATGAATTATTCGTGTTCAGCGATCAAAAAAACATACAGTATCACATTTAAAATCCGGATTAAGCTATTTTTTCATCAAATTAAACATGTATTAAGGAAAATCGAAACTCAAATTAAAAAATCGTTCACTAGCGACCTCTAAATCTTAATATTTTTTGATAAAAATTTAGTGGTGTTCTTTTGGCATGAAATGGAAGCTTTTGAACTGACGATTAAAAAAAAATTTTTTTTTCTTGTCAGTCTAATATATATGTATGTATACGCGTATGTATAATATATATGTATACGCGTATGTACATGCGTATATACTACACATACAACGCTGCAATGATAATAAATGCGATACTTATGTATATGTATACCAATAAATCTACTTGTGTCACGTATACGACATTTAAAAACATCCCAGCAAACACCAAATTACATGTAACGTACATGTTAATTTTCCACCCAACAATATAACTGTAATATAACACGTGTGTTATATTACAGTTGTTGAATGGGAAATTACAACCGACATGTACGTTACAGGTAATTTGGTATTTGCTGGGATTTAATCTGTATAAATTACAAAGGAAAATTTCACAGCAATAAATTATATATGGTGTAATACATGCGCATACATCTCTTGGTGGTAATACAATTAAGAAAGACGTAGTTTTCTGAAGACATAAACAAAATTGAAAATATAAATGCAAAATAACTTGATTGGAACAGTTGACGTAACGCGAGTGATCCAATCGAATAATCTTTTACTGCAGGAAACCTTATATATTTTAGTTCTTACGGATCAATAGTAGCTTGTTAACGGGGGGATATCATATATCGTAAGTTAATTGTAACATACTATATGAACATTACATCACAGTAATTAGTCCATGCCGTGTGATTATGTCACGGTAGAATGCAATTGTGGAAAATTTGATAGGCGACAAGGAATGGAAGTGGAAAATTTGATGGGTGACAGGATGGAAATGTGCAGATAAACAAGCATTATCCGTGTTACCGTTAATTATTATCATTAAACTGGGGCAAAGTTCCGGTTTGTTGGATTATTGACAGTAATTGAGGGAATGTAAGTTGCAATTTGTAACACTATGAATTACGTGAATTACATTAATTTATATATCGATAATTAGTAGTATTCTTATCTATGCTCGTTTTTACCTTATATGTTCTCTATAAAATGGTCGAAAAAGATATAATAATAAAATAGTAAAGAAGAAAAGGACATGATGCTATAAACGATATAATACATATTTTAAAATTATGTATCCCGTATTTTTATATATATAAAACAGATTGTCTGAAGTTGCGAACATTCGAAATTCGCATGTGCAGGTATATTTTTCGATCGATTCGTATAGTTAATTTTTTCTTGGCCAAATCAAATGGATACTTAACTAATTATCAGTCAATCTAAAATGAAATCGTGTTTGCAAATTAAATCTATTATAAATCGAAATTATACCGACGAGACTAAATCAATTAATAGAAGTAATGTTTTCGGTCAAAGCCGGATCTTATATTGCTTAATAATACTAACGAGAGAACCTCGCGAAGTATCAAATTCTGATTTTAATGAAATTTTGTATACTATCTATATATAAGCTACGTAAATAGATAAATTTAGAAAATATCAATTGAGACCCAAAAACGGTTTTAAGGGGTGAAATCACCCTTATATGCAATAAAACAATTTTCAGCTTTTTTCGTTATATCTCACGAACTATTCGTAATATTTTTCGCAAATTACAAGTTTTTAAGATGCTTATTAGCTTCACTATTAAAATGGACGATTAATCTAATTTGAGATATTAATTTCAGTTTTAGTTTATGATTGCGTTTCAAGTTCTATACATCTTATCCGCGCCTTATCGGCGCGCAATTTATAAAATTGAAGTAATATTATATATTTGCAAAAAATTTGCAAATAAGATCCGCACTAAAAGCAACTAAGAGTATAATAAGTACTAAGATCCGAAAATAGGATTATCTCTATTGATTTAAATCTAATGTAATCATTTAAATCTATATTTGAAAATGCGTTTAAATATAAAAACTGAATTGGACAAATATCGCGTTGCAGAGCATATTCGAAATAGTAACGTTTTGCTATCCGTTATTCGCATTCGCGAATGTATGTGCATCTTGTTAAAGAGAAAAGACGTTTTACCTCGGGAGGTACTGGACGTCCAGGTTTAAGCACCCTTATCAACGCTATCTCACCGCAAGGCTTAAAAATCTCAGCGACAGATTCGACCGTTAATTTTTCTACTGGTAATCCAGCCGCTAAAATGGTCCTGGAAGGAGCTGTCTGATCGAAATGTGGTAAAGGATTCACTCTCCGCAGCTTAGTCCCTTGTGAATTAAGCTCGAGCTTTTTAGACCTCGTTAAAGCCGCTCCGACCACTCTCCAATCCCTGCTGAGATGTTTGACCTTTTTGAAGCTGGATATCAATTTAAGAGATACGTAGCCTTCTTTGTTCCTTTTCACGTGTTTCAATAAGAACGCATCCTTTATTATATTATCGTCAGAAAAATAATATTCCACTTGAGCGCATATCTTGTCGGCTAACTCATCATTCGGTATCACGAAATCGTTGGTCGTTCTCTTAAACGTTGATTCCGTTGATTCTATTGGAGACTCCAACGGTATAACATTCACTTGTTTCTGCTCTGTCAGTTCTTTCGATGTAACATCATCCAGAGAATCTGCACCCGAATCTTGATCAGTATCACTCTTTTTTACAATCCTGACCTCGCTATCATAATCTGACAAGTCGGCCTCGTCGCTCTTGGATCCTCTTCGGTCGAAAGAAAGGCTTACGTCGCTGTCTACGGAGGAAATACTATCTTTTGTTTCAGATTTCTTCATACGCGGAGGTGAGGACAACAGATTATTGATCTGCTCCTTTAAGTCTTGAGATACTTGGAACTCCATATTTTAATCAAAGTAGAGCGACTGTATTTTGAAGTTGTAAGAAGGCAACTTTAAGTTGGTAACTTTAACGCGTTGGTATAATTATATTCTTCCTTCAGATTTTAACCATTTTTTTGTGTATTTTTACATAAAGTATATATATATATATATGTCATTGCTAAGTCATTTTCTTCTTTCTAACACACTGACGTTTTATCAATTAAAAAAAAAAAGAAATTTCAGAATACAAAGATAGAAATTGAATGAGAGCGTACTCGTCGCTCACTGACCTTCCACTCTGTGCGCGATCCGTTTTATAGCTGCGGCCAAGTTCGATGCGTGGCAAAGCTGCAATGGCCTTCTTGAATACCGGTCAAGAATGAAACATTCGGCGAACGACCGAAGGGCACTCGAATTGAACCTTGAGCGAAGGAAAGGGAGTTTATAACACAATTATTAAGTGTACGTCAATATAAAAGAGAAAATTTTTAAATTATCTTGTGTCTACGCACGCACGTAAAAATAATTAAAATGATCAAAATAAATTTTAATAATTTCGGACAATCGTCAAAAATATGTATAAATTTCAAAATATATTAATTTTAAATGATATCGATACCTTCGGATATCATTACTTATTATAGACACGAACTGTTTACGTTACGTATCTACAATGTATAATGTTGGATTGCGTGGAATGTAGGTATCGCGAACAATTGCACACACACACACAATCGTTGATCACAGGCAGGAAGAACTTAAGACGGCGAACTTAACCAGTTTTGACCTCGCTAAGGCCCTGAGGGTATATTCGCAAACGACGCGCATTGCATCTGTACGCCAATAGCATAATAATATATAGGTCAAGTTCGGTTGGCCACATATATGACCATGAAGGACAAAGTTAGCTCTGTGAATCGTCGAAAAACGAAAGGATTCGGTCCAGACCCCTAAGGTCTTAATGCCTCATACTCCCCAAATCTCACATTGCCATCACCGCTCCAATATGCTTCAAAGGCCAGTCAGGTCCCCTTCTGCTTCTACAATTTTTTTTTCGCTACTCTTCGGGGAGTTCGAGGCCCCACATCGCATCGCGCGCGCGTCAAGCCGGATTAAAAGATAGAGGGTGATTGCCTTGGTTTCAGCTGAAGATTAACCAAGGAGAAGAGTGAGAGACGTGGGAGGAGAAACTGATCGTCTCGATGATTCATCTAAATTACTTACTCATATAGACAATATACACATTATGTATTATGTCTTTTAGAATTTGAATTTGTGCATATGTGCACGTGTACTTTTTAAAATAATAGTCATTTGATAAAAATGATTTTCGCCAGTCATTTTTTTCAAAAAAATTTTATAGTAAATAAATTTTTGTCATTTTATTCGTATAAATACATTATTTCAAGTTTATGAAAGACTATAATCTATGGTTTAAAAAAACCTGGGATTTAAAAAAAAACCCAACCCACAGGAGGATATTATATTAATTAATAAATTAAATTAAATAAATTAAATCGAAATTGATTTATTTAATTTAATTTATTAATTAATATAATATACATGCACATATATTTGTATAAGAAATATTCTATGCCAAATCGATCCGATCGTTATTAAAAGAAATGTAATATTCGATACCTTTTTTATGCACTTGGCGTATATTTTTCTTTTTTAAAGGTTTTTTTTTTAAGGATTTCACTGTTTTTGTAAATTTGTGAAAACAAAGTCGCCTGGCGTTGTCGTCGATGTCGTCCAGCGTCACCGTCGCCCGGTGTTGTCGTCGATGTCGCCCAGCATCATCATCGTTGTTGTCGACGTCGTTCGAAGTGGCCCGGCGTCGATTGTTGTTATTCGATAATAATTTAATAACCAATGTTTTCAATGTGTAACTGTATTTATGTACATAAATTTATTTCAAAAAAAGATCTTTTTCTTTAATTAGAATAACATAATCTTTTATATATAATTGTTCCTATTACTTTGCATCTTTCATACAATAATTTTTATTTTTAGAAATATAATCACGTGGAAAGATATAAAAGATTTGATATTCTTGCATCTATAAATTAAAAAAAACTTAAATATTTATGTGCTTATATGATCTAAGTCGACATATTGCTCTTGATTGTTAACGATATTGTGGACAATGCTGTTTTATTATTGATTTTGAAATGTCAGCACGACCTGGAATTAAAAAATATAAAATGCATTTCCTAATTATGCGTGATATTCGATAACAAATGTATCTATAATGCATATACTATTGTGATACAATAAAATAATATATAACTCATAAAAGTATCCAGAGAATAGTCTTGTGACCAATGCCAGAAATAAAAGATTTTGGCTAATAAATAAACAAACCAGATATAATTAAATTTAAAAAATACCTTATTCTTCTACTGTTTGAAATTTTAGATAAAGTTCATATTAATAATACTGAGAAAGAATATTACCTAATTGTAGCTCTATATACAAGGCCAACATTATCACTTGTATAGGTATATCACGATCTGGTTCTTTTGACGTCCATATCTGAAACAAAAAGTAATTAATATATAGAAATACTATTTAAAAATGTATGTCTAAATCAATAAACAAATAATATTAATATATTAATATAAGTATATAGTTTAATAGTGTATAAAAAACAAGTGCAAGATATTTAATATATCATATTATATTGTTTTTATTATTTTAATTCTGTATAATATTATATAAATAGAACTCTAAGATACTAAAATTCTAAAATACTCGCTTGTTTCAAAGTTTCGCCAGATTTATCTAGTTCGCCTCGTATAGCATAAGCCACAGCCAAGTTATAACGTATTATAGCAGTGCCTGTTGAAACTGTTGTAGGATACCATACTACAATTCAAAACAAGAAATTTATTTCTCAGATATTATTAACACTAAATATTGAAAACCTCGAAAAGATATAAAAATAAGATATATTTTCATGAGAGCAAGTAAAAATAGCTACAAAATTTCGAAAATTAATTTAAATAATTTCAACTTTAGATATATATATATATATTTTTTTTAAACAATCCGCAATAAACTTTTTATCTTACAGACAATACGTTTTAACAAGAAAGCCATCAGAATATCATGTATCAAATGGTGTAACATGTAACCAATTAAAAAATAATTACGATATGATAAAAATAATGATATGAAGATAACTCAATTCATACATTTTTACGATATAATTTTTTTTTAAACTATTCGCAACGTTTTGTCTCCGTCGCACGCGGTAGTGTTTGATACAAAATGTCTCAAGATTATCAAAGCTAAAAAAAGAAAAAAATGTATATTTCTTTCCACGATGCGTGGTTATAATCAATTGTTTGCGAAAACAATGTATTATAAATAAAAAATATAATCTCTCTTTAACAAATCATAAACACACTTCCCTTCTTCTAATTTTCAAAACATTCTGCATATAATTTCCAAATTTACCTTTTATAGGCTTTATCATAACTTCTTCCACTTTTTCTTTATCTTTCTCCTGAATTTCTGGGGTAGATATAAATATATTTAAATCTTGAAGATTTTCTAACTTCAGGTACTCGAGCGCTTCATTAATTTTGTCCATGAATATCAAACTTTCAGCAGCATATAAGTTGCCTAACATTTTATATGCTCCAGGTAATTTGTTGAAACTTAATAGAGCTTTTGCATGTTCGAGAGAAAGTATATAATCTCCAAGACACAAAGAAACATAAGCGCTAGCAGCCAAGACACTAATTTTTAAATTAAAAGATTCGATAGCTGTAGCTCGTGACATTAATGTTGTATGTTGGATACCTAAAATAATTATACATCTAAATTAGACTTATGCGTATATAATAGCACATGTGTAAAATTATATTCTATACCTAGGTTGTGACCAGATGTTAATGATAGTGACACTGAATTCGCCATGGTTGTTGCCAATGAACCAGGCACGCTCGACTCATTATTGTTCGGTAGTAAAAGTAATGCATTCTTCAGACATAAATATCCAAATTCCAATGTTGGTTGTGGGATTGCATAAGATAGGCCTTCCGAATGATATTTGATATCTTTTGATAGAGATGTGGCTAATATAATTTTTTTATGGATACCAGAACCTACAATTTTCTGCACCAAATCTTTACGCCGTTTTGGAATATTGAAATCAATTTTATTTGACTAAAAATAATAAGCAATATACGATTACATTATTATATTGCACATGTGATTTCATTATGATCATATAATCATTAAAATTAAAATAGTGTAGTTGCAACAAATAGTGTTTCCAAAATATTAATGTTTGCTAACAAGTATTTTTTCAAGGTAGAATCAGTATCACATAATTGCAACTTACATATTTATAACTGTAGATGCAACACTCTGCCATTCTGAGCAAGAGTTTAGGATTATTGTGTATTTTCTGTGCTACTTCTGTAAAGCAATCAAAGGCTTTTGACGCTTTACCAGCATATAACAATACTACACCCAAACTGTACATTAACTCGTAATGTTTATTCCCACCAAGTGTGTATAATGGTTGAGAAGATAAAGGATCTGTACAAGTTTTCTTCTTTTAATATTGACGTCATTTTATGTATACGAATTGTTTAGAATAATATCAAAAATACAAAATACTTGGTTCATTGTTGTGCTTAATTCAAATGTGCTTAAATTCAAATATACTTCAATTAGTTCTCTCTCGAGGAGATATATATTTTGAAGCAAAAGATGGAAAAAGTCTCATAATACTTGAATATGTTGGGAACAAAATAAAAATAGGTATTTAAAAAATTCTATTTAAAAAGGAGAGCCAAACGAGGCACAATATTTAACACCTTCAAACTTGACTTTATTGGAACCATGTTAAAACAAACTGTAAAATTCAATTTTCATACGCTCGTTAATAAGTAATTCATACTAAACAATTAATTTTTTTTTAAATTTTGACTATTTTTCCAACATATACATTATTCTATACATTAGATCTCGGATGATGTTGATAGAATTAAACAATTTCAATGGATGTCTTCAAATTTGATGTACATTACTTACAATGTACACCGAGCCTGAAGGAGTTACTTTACGTTTAATAATTGTAAGAATTACCAGCATCTTTAACTTGCATGCTTTCCAATTCACGTTTATTTGCACGCAAAGCTGACTGGAGACAAGTACAAGCCAAAGTTGGCTTGCCCATCGCAAGATGCAAACATGCCATATTATTATAAAATAAAACAGCCGAAGATTCTCCACATAATCTATAAACCATATATTAATGTGTTTTAGAATCGAGCAAGAACTTAATCTATTTGGAACATTTTTACTTATTTTAAACAATATTAAAAAAAGTTATTTCCATATATTTTTATAATGTTCTATTACATAACAAGAGATGCTATACAAAATGATTAAACAGATTATAGCAAAATCAAAATGACTGTATGAATTAGAATAGATTGTAACGCTTTTTCAAATAAAGATAGAAAGACTATTGAATTATAGATCATAATTTTTTTCATAAGTGTAGATACTTACATAAAGCAACTGAAAAGTGCAATTGCTTTTTTTTTATTTATTATACATAAATTCATTTATACATATAAATGGATCTCATCTTCACATTTCATTATGTAACATTCTCTTTGACAGATATACATATAACACACAGTATTATATTATTCATATTGTTTAAAAAAGTAAAAACGTCCCAGATAGATAGAATTGTATCGTTTCAATTGTGTATAATATTAAGAATATTTACAAATTTTTAACTTTGCCTCATGCATTTGTATTTAATATAGTTAATATATATGTAACATACTTAAAATCTAAAGTTTCTTTCGTTTTAGTATTCAAAAATTGCATTGCCTTATCGTAATTTCCTCGTAAATATTCCAGATGAGCCTTCAAAAAAATCGTTGATGCATTCTAAAAATAATAAAATAGCCTAATGAAAACAATATGGATCAGACCGCTCCATGATATAAACTTAACAAAAGAAACGATTGTATTCAATATTTTATCTTAAATGAAATAAAATATATGTATATGTGCAAGTTGTTTACAGACATAATTATATAAATGTATGCAATGTGTACATAGATACAAATACATATGTATCTATATACACATATATAGGTACATACTATATATAGATATATATACTCTCTATTAGAGATTAATCAAAATTAAATTTGCAATTAACAATATTAGAGACTTCAAGGTTTAAAAATAAGAGTAATATTCCATATTACTTTATTAAATGTGAATTATGAATTGTTGATAAAATGTGAAAATTGTAGATTAAATGTGAGATATTGTGGATAAAAAGTATCATTTATCAAAAAAAGAAGCAATAGTTAATGCTAAAGTATAAGTGCACATTTTGTATATTATAGACTGTTATCATAATAAATAATAACATTACCACTATGCCCAATGAAACTAGTGTCTTCCATTCTTTTTTACACAATTTCAGTTGATGAGTCAAAAGGTATATTCTTGTTTTATATTTCAAAAGTTTAATTTTGAATGCATCTATTACTGTATCACCATCATTTTTTTGCTCCCTTTGCTCTTTAATAGATTTTATTACTCCATCCTTGTCAATAGAAGATGATATCTTGGAATTGTCAGTAGATATAAATTGACTCTCCACATAATTTAATATTGATAGAGCTGCATCTGGTTGCTCCGTTATTATATATAACTCAATCAATAACAGACAAACTTTATGTGCCAAAGTTTCCTCTATAATCAAGAAAGTCATACATATTAAGATAGAAATAAAGATTCCATAAGCAAAATATATTTAAAATACATCTAAAATATATTTGAAATGCATTATATTTAATTTAATCAAATAATTTAGCAATCGTTTCTTTTCTTTTAAGAGACAATCTAATATTACTTTGTTCTCGTACTCTGTTGAATGATCAAGCTGCTATAACATCTAATTTTTTAAAATTTCTATTTAAAACTATTATCACACTTACGTACCCATTGGCTCGATAAAAGCAAATAGCCTAGTCATGATTTGAAGCGCAGCATTATATTGTTTAGTGTGATACAATAAAACAGCTTGATTATATCTCATAACACACTTCTCAACATCATCGATAGCCTCGTTAGAATCCATCGTTGATATCTGACCACATATCGCATTCAAACTCTTTCGTGTCAACTCAGTTTTTTTCAAATCACTTTTATAATATTCCACCACGACTTTGTTATGTGTAACTTTAAGATCTGTAGGTCGGAGGCTTTCCAACTTGTTCAAATATGACAAACACGACGCATAAGCACCTTTTTGAAATTCCGATAGTATATTTTGAGCCAACTCGCGCTCTTGCTCAGTTATAGCAGAGACACTGTCTCTACTTTGGGATTCAGAAATTTCACTCATGATGCACCGATTACGTCTCGATGTGTAATTGTAATTGTGAACTTTCTTCTCAATATATACAACTTTTTGATTCAATCCAATTCAATCACGAACGTAAAGAGCAGAGTACTTCACAAAGGTTATGGTAGGTATGGTTCATCAAATCTGCGACTAAAGCTGAAACCACAATAGACACAGGCAATAGGCACAAGCCGTCCAATCAGAGCTCTGGGATATAAATTCGATATTATATCCCAGAGCTCTGATTAGACGGTTCGTTATTCCCTATTGCCCATTGTAGGTTTGGCTGCGTTCAGCAGACTCAACAGTTTTGCAACTGTTTTATGATTCGTCGCGCTGATTGGATTATACTTTTAGATTTAAAGGAATAGTCCTATCTCAGCGCAGAATCATAAAACGGTTGCAAAACTGTTGAGTCTGCTGAACGCAACCTTTGTCGCGTTGCAAACTCTAACATGCTCCAACATGCTCCTACCATAACTCCTACTCACTCTATCAAGCGCGTGAGTGAGTAAGAGCTATAGTAGGAGCATATTGGAACATGGAGCGTGCGACGCGAATAAACCTTAAAGCTGGTTCTACATTAGTCGCATCGCAACGTCGCAAGCGTTGCAGTCCAATCAACGTCAAGCTAGCTCGACTCTAAT